TTTTTGGTCCAACTTTTATACTATTTTAATTACTAGTTTAGAGCACAGGAAAGTTGTGGTCATGATTTCTTGTGTGACTATTAATCCTAACATCTAAAAATTTATGGCAAGTAGTCTTTACATCAATAATTAAAGGAATTGTAATGACAGCATGAGAAATATAACCAAAAAACCACCTTATAATCTTAGTTTCCATTTTAAAAAAAATATAGAAACAAGCAAACAATGTCAAGAGTGTTTACAGAAATGTATGTTTAACAAACCAGGATGTCATGGAGACATCACCCAGAAATATATAAGTAATTCCTCAGAATATTGCTCTTAATAAAATAATCTTAGCTATTCTTATTAAACTTATTCTATCATTAAAAATTTATAAATACAAATCTTTAGTGACAGAAACACATTTTGTCACATTATGCATTGGGCTATATTTAACTTTGTTTTATATCTTTTTATGGATAGAATATAATGACACTCAATCTTGACCAACTCTTATCAGATTATATTATTAATTTTCATAGGTTGAAAAAAGAAGTTTTACTCTCCATCTGTTTTTGAACATATGAATTAAGTTTTAGTCATCTGTGATACATAAAAAAATATAGTAGAAATTTTTTAAAATTTTAACTGAATGCTAGTAAAATATTGCATATAGATCATATGAGTTGTACTTATGTTTTCAATGATTTTAATATGTACATATATCTGTGTATTCATGATCCAAATATACACCTTGAGATATTACACTTATCTCAGTCACAAAAGGACAAATACTCCATAATACCGTTATAGGACTGACATGAAGGGATAAGAGAGAGAAGAGGAAAACAGTGGCTAGACCATGAACACCATAATAGAACAGGTGAGAAGAACTGTCTGAAAGAAATATATGATTAGGCATTATATGTATGACAACAATCTGGAACAAGGGGTGCATGTCAGGTTCGGCTGAAGCAAGGAAGAGGGAAGAAAATGTGCATAAGTGAATAAAAATAAATTACACTTAAAAACAGAAGGAAGAAATTAAAATTATAAGAGTAAAATTTAGAATGAGAAAATAGAATCATGAGAATTAAAATCATTTTTATTGATTTTTATCTACATTTAATAGTACATTATTAAAATATTAATATAATCTTTATCAAGATGATTAAGAAAAAAATATTCCAAGCAGTAGAATAGATAGGTCATATGGAATTTCTAAATTCAGTTTTTTGAGGGAGCACCTAACTGCCTTCCAGAATGGTTGTACCATTTTATAATCCCACCAATATTGTAGAGGGGTGGGAGAGGTTGGAAGCAGAGGAATGGGGGGGGGCAATTAATCATGGGGTTGTACAATTTGATGGGGGTTGGGGGAATTTGAAAGAATTTGTTTTTTAAAACAATGTATTCAAATTTTGTAAATAAACTAGAAGATAAAAAGTTTTTTAAGAAATAAAACAGCATTTATTACCAGTTGTTACGACTCAGTAAGGCTTCAAGGCATACTTCTCATGCAAATGATATAAAACAGCATGTGGTTCAGCCTAAAGCTAAATCAATTCAAGATACAATTACCACCTTCAAAGCATACTACCCATACTAACCATTGTTATGGTTGTTGTATACCATAGAGTTGGGAACTGACCCACAGTTAACCCTCCAGCAGGGTTTCAGAGGCAATAAACCTCATGGGAGGAGAGCAGAGCAGTTGGTAGATTCGAATGACGAATGACGGGCCTTTGGTAACTTATCCACAGAGTTGCTCAAGCAAAACTACAACAAATGGAGATACACTAATATTACATGACTTCCATAAGAATTACACTTTTCTGCAATGAATTTGGAACATTATACCTTTCGGGGAAGAAGTTAGGAAGAAATGGATTTAAGGAATATAGGGGAAATTGCTCAGTTCACTATGTATTATCAGGATAAAAAGATGTAAGAGATTGGTGGGGAACCATCGATAAGGAAAGAAGGCAAAATTTATGACTCGATATCACTAATGTGGAGCAATAGCTCATAGATTATGAAAAAGAAGAATTATCAGAGTTCAAGACTGAATGAATTGGGGAAGGGAAGAAATGCTGTGGAAGGACAAAGTATTAGGAAGGAAGGGAGAACTGTCAAAATATTGTATAGTGAAAAAGATCATGTAAGATTTTTTTTTCAGTTACTGGAAAGCAGATACTCAAATGTTGATTGCTTGTTAAAGCTTATTGACAGTTTCAAGAAACAGATGTTACCATAATATATACTAAAGAGAAAAGAATTATGCAGACCGTTTACTATTACTAGATTTTCCCTATTCCCAGATATGATCCAGATGATCTAGAATCTTACGCAAAATAGCGTAAATAGTAACTCCTTGTGGAGTTACTACCACAACTGACAAAATGGAATGAGTGGAAGATCGGACATGGTGTTTATTATAATTGATATATGGAACAAAAGGCTCATGAATGAGAGGGAAAATAATGCTTTGTAAACGTCCACTAAAATCACAACAGACAGACAATTCATTCAGCTCTTTAGGATGATGTATGTGTTTTTTTAAATGTATGCATTTATTAGTGACTTAGTTAAGGAGTTTTGCTGCCCACCCAAGACAGTTTAAATATCCCAGTGGCTCCACAGAAAAAAGATGTGCAAATCTCCTATCATGTGCATTATGGACTCTGAAAACGTATAGGAGGGTCAGCTAGGAGTAGGTTCTGAATCAACAACACCTATCATTACAAACAAAAACAGAGTGTGTAAAACTAAGACTTGATAGAATGGAAAATTGTTTGAATCCACCAGCCACTGGGATGAAGAAAGATGAACAATCTCCTGTCATGAAAATGTACAGCCTTAGAAACTTGATGGAGGATTACTGTCAGTTGGAACAAACTCAATAAAAATGGGTTTTTAAATTTTGGATGTATTAAACAATATTTCTAAATGTATATTTAATGTAATGTTCCTAATCCCCAAAGAAAAATACTGATCAAATTCATAGATATACATATAAAATACAATGAATATGGAAACATAAATATTTTACTTACATCAAAACTGAATCAAGATAGCAGTTGTCAAAATGGGACCCCACTGTAAGTCAGATACTATTTGAA